TGTGTGTGTGTTGTGGGGGGGGGGGGGGGCATGCATGCCTGTTTTGTTGGACTCTCTTCTTTTTGTTGTCTGTTCTTCAACTCTATTTTGAGCTGCGCATTGGGTTTATGTACAATGTTCAGCTAACTTTAACTTCCATCCTAGTTGCAGGTAAAAATTGGATTAAATCAATGATCCTCACAGCTTCACTTTTCCCTTTTCTATGCTTCATGATTGGTTTCATTTTGAACACGATCGCAATCTTTTATGGGTCTCTGGCAGCCATTCCCTTTGGCACAATGGTCGTCGTGTTTGTCATCTGGGCCTTTATCTCTTTCCCTCTGGCACTTCTTGGTACAGTAGTTGGAAGAAACTGGAGTGGCGCTCCAAACAATCCATGCCGCGTGAAGACGATTCCCCGGCCAATTCCCGAGAAGAAGTGGTACCTAACACCATCTGTAGTCTCCTTGATGGGAGGATTGCTGCCCTTTGGCAGCATATTCATTGAGATGTATTTCGTATTCACTTCCTTCTGGAATTACAAGGTAATTTATCTGCTCTCTCTGAGTGTGAATGTTGTTAACAAGCACACGCATCCAGCTCCTGGCTCTATATACTTGGTTTGACAGATTTTTATTAGATTTTTTGAGATTTGTAGTATCATCTCAAATATAAGTGTAAAAGAAAACTATATTATTATTAGAGTGAACAATGCTACGTTTTGAAAGAAATTTGGCATAAATATCCATGTCAAAATAATTTCAGTATGCAAGTGAGGCACTAGGTAAGCCAGGCTGTCTAAATTTGTCTCTGGCTGATTGATAATTATATGGGAAATAATTGCTAACAGTTGCATGGATGTCAAACTTGTTTGATCCAGAATCTATTTTTCCTTTTGGTCCTTATTACTGGGATATATGTTCATGGTGTTTGAGCCAATGAAAAGCTGGGTGTCTTGGTTGTACCACTGGAATCTCCATGATGTAATTTGTTCGAACACTAACACATGTACAAGTGACAATCTTATACATTTTGCAGGCAAACACCAAAGCAACAATGGTATCAGTTCTCTTCTAGGTTAGGTAATGCATATTGAAATATGGGTGTTTAAGTTGAAATAAATGTCCAATTTCTAGGTTTTCTATACATCCTTTTGTTTTCTTATTGGTGAGGACAACTGTAAGTTGTGGGGAATGGCGTGACACAGTTTTTCAATAAACTCGTATCTAAAGAGGAAGAGAACAGTGACAAAGACATGAACCAATCGGTCCAAAAATAAAGGAGCTCTGTGAGAACTGTTTTATGTTGTGAAAGACGTATATTGGCTTCATTATGTGGTTAGAATATGCATCTCTAAATAACATTAGTGCTCAGTTCCTCTTCTATCCCCTACTGCAATTATTAAAATCTATGCAGAAGGCCTGTTTTCTTTCTCTTCTTCCTTTTGACTAGAAGAAGACATGTTTTCAAGGTCTCAGAAGGACATCATCATCATAATAGAAAAGATGGTAGTCATAAGTTGATGTATGAGATATATCATTTCTTCTGTTGTTTCTTGCTTTTGGCAGGTGTACTATGTCTATGGCTTTATGCTTCTGGTTTTCGTGATTCTTGTCATCGTTACCATGTGCGTCACAATTGTGGGAACGTACTTCCTGCTAAATGCTGAGAATTATAACTGGCAGTGGACTTCCTTCTTCTCGGCATTCTCAACGGCCTTCTATGTGTACTTGTACTCAGTATATTACTACCATGTGAAGACAAAGATGTCAGGGTTCTTCCAGACTAGCTTCTACTTTGGATATACATTGATGTTTTGTCTTGGTCTAGGAATCCTCTGCGGTGAGTATAAATTGTGACCAGTTGATTTATTGGAGTTACTTTTGCTGGTTTTTCTTTCTTTTCTTTTAATTGAATATATTTTTGCATTTGATAACAATTAGAAAACATTGATGGTATCCTTTTGAGTGGGTCCTTGCCAGTTGATATAGCAATGTAGGATGAAAAATGGCACGGGAGGAAAGTCCTATCTCTCTTTAGTTTGAAGGAAAGAAAATTAGTGACTAGAGAATCCATTGCATCGATCATGAATTGACCTGTTCAGATTTGATTGGAAAATTAGCAATTCAGTGTTAGATTATGTTCACTAAGCAAATGCCATAATAGCCTCAGATGTCTCAGCTTCATGTTCAAATCACTTCGTCTTGCTCTAGAGTGCTTGACATGGTGAAGTACTATCTGTAAATCAGTCATCTTTTAAATCAATTTTCATGCAATATTCTTTTTATTTTCCTTTCCATTCATGCAAAACAAAAAAGAGAAAAGCAGATCTCTTTCCTTGGATGATAAAATTTGGTCATCTCTTTTTCTGTTCCTGATATGAGACCTTGCCTATCATGCTATCCCTCGATGAATATTCCAATTATTTATGACATTTTCAAGCGTTCTCACACATGGTGGAGTCAAAAGAGTACCTAGCCTATTATGGTTTGAAAGTTTGTAGTTAGTTCACTTGTGTTTATGTAACTTCCAATGCCTTTTCATTCTAAGCTGTTTTTCAACAGGTCCGATAAAGCAATTTTTATATTTACAGCTTCCTTTTGATTTGCGTTTCTCCCTTTAAGTTGGCTACAAGGGCGTTCTTTTCATTACCTCCGAGTTATTGCCTGCAAAAGTTCCTGATGAATATGTTGATAATAAGTTAACCATAATTTATTTACTATACCCTGACTTACATCGGCCCTTTCTCACTGCTTCGTTCAGGTGCTGTTGGTTACTTGGGCTCTAATTTGTTTGTAAGGAGGATTTACAGAAACATCAAATGTGACTAGTTTTTTTTATCAAGGAGAGAGAAATCAACTTAGCAACTACATGTTCTACATCTTCGGGAATGGATAAAAGAAACCTTGAAGTTTCTGTTTTGGATTCCAGGCAATGATTACAATAGATAATCACTTGATTGTGGGAGGCCCTGAAAATTTTCCTTGTACTCTGGGTTGTAAAACAACGCCTAGTTACGTAATTTAGAATACCCTGATTGTTTTTGTTGTTCAAAAATCTTGCTCGATATTAGCCGTAGCTGTGATATAGCTAGTTTGAACATAATTTGCTGGCAGTGTCTTGAATCCATGGTTTTGTTGATTTTGTTCTGTGATAGTAGTATGTCCGTCACTTTTTGATTAGAGAATTATGTTGCTTTGACTTTGGTGATGGCTAGTTTTCCTTTGATGTGTTTACTCTATAAAGGTCAAGGTTATGTACATGATCGTAATTTTGTTTTTTGTGTCATTGGTTCTATAGTTGATGAATTTGCTAAGCAGCTTCTCGTCTGCTAAAAATGTAATCACTTGGTGTTCTTTCTCGGATTGTTTTAGTGATTGTCATTTGTTGAAAATTCGATGATTTCGTGTTCTGACTCGGTTCGCATTATCTACCAATGTAGATGTCATTCAGAAGTTAGCTGTGTACATCGATGTTTTTTTCGTGTTTGTATCATTACGAAACGCTTTCTTAGTTCTTGTAAGTTATTTTATCTGTTATTTTATAATATTTTTCGCCTTCTTAAATTTGAGCCGAAACCATTTGAATTTCTTTGTTCTTGCATTTGCTATTTGACCTTTCTGCGGGTTTGTGCACTAGACTTGAGAATACTAAGGCTATCTCCAATCCTGCACCAAATTTTACATCAAATCTTGCACCAAATAAAATTTCATTTCCAACCATTACACCAAAAATTACACCAAATAAACAGTATTTAACCATTTTCTTCCCTTTTTTTATTCTTTATAATTTACTTATTTGAAATATTATTTATTTAATTATTTCATAATTACATAAATTACTAAATAAATAATTATGTTAAATCATGGAAAAGATTAAATTTATTAATAAATATAAAAAACATAGAATAATTAATAAAAATACTACAACAACGAAAATATAAAATCATGCTGTAAGAAAATAGTACAATGCATTTCGAATTTGGATAGATAATATTACGAAATCGTTAAATTTTTGCAATTAATTCTCAGAATTCATATGTTCATCCCACAAATGATCGATTAATGCATTTTGAAGTGTAATGTGAGTTTCTTTATCTTTGATTTATTTATGACGAGCAAGGGTATGTATGTATCCTTATGTATCCCTTTTTTAAAAATAAAATTAGATTATAGGATGTATGTCGCTATTTAATATATTTCGTATTAATTTTAATAAATAATCGTGTTTGATGTATTTTAAATTTTTTTCGTCTTTTAATTAATTTATTAATTAATATGTCTTACATTTAAAATTTATTTTAAATATAAATAATATTAATATTAATATTAATAAAAATAAAAATAATAATTTATTGTATTAAAAAATATATAGCACAAATGACATAAATACCCTCAACAAATTTATTTGAGAAATGTTAAATAAGGCAAGTTTGGTGTTGGGTTGGAGCAACTTTGCACCAAAAAATGGTGCAAAATGGTGCAATGGTGTCATGGTTGGAAATGCCCTAAGTCCTGCTTGATTCTTATTCTTTTTTCACAAAATAAAATATTTTGTACGTAAATTCAAAATTTTTCCTACTTTTTAATCACGCATTTTTCTAAAACAATATTCAGAACTCTTTAAAAATAAAATAAAATAAAATTATCTTGTAATATTGTACCGTAGGCCGTTCAATTTTGTTTGTCTTGATCTTACTTTTGTTTGTTACTCTTTTTCGTCGGTATTTTCGTGTATAACTATGCTCGGTGTACGTCCTATAATTTGATAGCCTCTTTGATAAAATGTCACATGATAATTTCCAAAAAAAAGGTTTTATCATGCAATAAAATTTTGTAAGCACACTTTTCTGTCAACAAAAGTGGTAAAATGTGATGTACAAATAACAAAATCCTTTCATATATTTATTGTAATTATGGTTGGCCAATAGCCTTGTATCACGAATTAAGCTTCTAATTTTGTTTCTAATTCATTAATGGAAAACCCAGATTTTCCTATTCCTTCCTCCCCCAACCCACGCCACCCCACATGAAAGGCTGAAAAATTGTTACAGAACTACCCAATCTTGATTTTAACAGGAACAAAAATTACCCACTCTCGTGCACCCCACCCTGCTCTAAATGCAAGGCTGTCATTTAATAGGATAGAAGGATTGTGTCAACCACATTCACCAGAAAAACATTGATGATAAAAAAGATAAACCTAGTAACAAAATTTTGACACGTGGAGGATAGAAATCCATAGAAACCCTCTACAAACCACTTATTTCCTCAACCCCTCCCTTCATTTCCAACACAAGAAGTTGTGACCAATTCTTTCCTCTCACATTCTTTAACTACTTCCTCCACCACTCACCTCCGCAAATGGCCAGTCTCGCCACCACCATGGTCAGCACCGCCCTGCTTCCGAGGAAGCCGGCTGCTGTGACTAGCCTACGTTCACTTCCAAACTTTGGGAAGCAAGCCCTTTTTGGACTCAAATCTAGTGGTAATGGAAAAGTAACCTGCATGGCTACTCACAAAGTGAAAATCATCACCCCAAGTGGTGAACATGAATTCGAATGCCCTGACGACGTTTACCTTCTCGATCACGTTGAAGAAGAGTTAGGCATCGATCTGCCGTATTCTTGCAGGGCAGGTTCTTGTTCTTCATGTGCAGGTAAAGTTATTTCAGGCAGCATTGATCAAGCTGATGGAAGTTTTCTTGATGATGATCAAATTGGACAAGGGTGGGTCCTAACATGTGTTGCATATGTACAATCTGATGTTGTCATTGAAACCCACAAGGAAGAAGAACTCACTGGTTGAAGATGAATACAATAATTGGCTGTTGAATGCTGAGGTTTATTTGCTATATTTATTGACTCTTTGTTTGCTTGTTAAATGGAACATGATTCTTGTGTTTCTGAACTAGTACCTACTTTTATGTGTAATTCTTATTTAGTTTTGTTCAATGTCATTAGTTATTGTACCATCTCAAAGTTGGATTTAGTAAATGGATTTTGCTCCTCAACCAGACCTGTAAATGATTTGGTAGAGGAGCCTCTCACAGCAATGGATCCTAATTGGGACCCATTATTAAAAAAACTATCAAAAAACACTCACTCCACGCCCAAATGTGAGAGGAGCTGCTCTACCATATTATTTACGGATCTGGTAGAGCAGCACGGTCTTTAATAAATACTTTGGTCCTTCAATTGTAATTAATCTATCCAATTGACGTGTCAAACATAGACAATGATGGAGAAAATGTACAATGATATCAAAACGGTTGAAAATTTTGGCGATGTGCTTGAAGATGTTGGATAAGATTGAAGAAGAAAATGAAGTTAAAATTTTATTCATAAAGAAAGGTCTTTTTTTTTTTTTTTTTTAAAGTGAAAAATAAATTGAACCGGCATGAAATGTGCGAATCTCAATAATATTGGGTAGATCAGGTTAGACAATTTGTTTGGCCAGGGTCTCTCCAAATGACCCTGGTCATTTAGCATTTCTCTACGTATAATTAGCCATTGTATCCAAACAACCCGAATTTCTTCTATCAAAAGTTAAAACGTATGTTCCCTAGAAATTGAAAACACGATATATGCAAGGCATAACTCCAATATTGTACATTCAAGTGGATCTCAACTTGACAATGTATATGGTCCAACATTTAAATTCAAATATCTTAATAAATTTGATAAAACCTTAAGCATAAATGAGGTAGAATATATATAGTAGTTTATTAATGAGAGTTAACTATATAAAAAGATTAATCATAACTAATGTTAAACTAACTAAATTATTCTGACAAACAAAGGACGCGATTGCACTTCAATTTTTTTTCTCCTAAATTATTCACGGTAAAATTCATCAAAAACTCTTGACAATTTGGAAACATTTTGAATTCTTTCAATTTTTAGGAAAATATAGGACTTGTTCGATACTGATTATAAGAATTGATTTTTTGATTGGTAGAGAGTAAAATGAGTCTCATCTAGAGAGTAAAAGTAAAAAATGACGGTCAAAAAATTAATATTTTAGGATGAAAAATCAAAATCAAACATGCACATAATATGGTACGTAGATATGTCTGAACTTCACTGGAAGAGTGAAAAAATAAAAACATTCAAGTCTTTGTCGCATACAAAAGCAAAAAAAATTAAAAATTCGAAAATGATTTAAATAATTATGAAAGACGAAGACAATCATTGAGTGACCGCATAGCGCAGTGGATTAGCGCGTCTGACTTCGGATCAGAAGGTCGTGGGTTCGACTCCCACTGTGGTCGCTGAAATTTTAAATTTGCTTCACCTCCCTTTTATACAATTGCACATTGCAATAATTTAACGGAAGATTTGTTTTTATATATATATATGTATATATTTTTTTCCCCCCTCCCACGATCGAATGGAATTTAGGTTTTAATGTATTTGAAAAATAAATGTACAAATTACATGTTTTCATAAGTTTTGAGATGGAATTTATGTGTCAAAATCTTAATTTTAATTGACAGAATGACACGCAATCAAATTTGTTATGTCGTCAGGTAGAGTTACCGTGCGTGACTTGATTTTCCTTGGAACTAAACAGAACCAAACCAAGAAACGGTGATTATTTTATAATGAAACCGAACTGAATGGTTCCATGTTGGTTTGATTTTGTTACATAACTAGATTCTCAAATTACTGATACAAATTATAATATAACGTTCTATCACCAAAACTTAATACTTACGTCCAAAATCAAATCATCAAGGCTCGTTTAACCACGGCATTTGAATTCTTTAGAGAACAATTATTGTCTTTAGCATGTTTGTTTATGTTACTTTTTTCTTGATTTGAGTATCAAAAGAAATAATTTATTTCTAACTTTGACTATTAAAATATTATTTTGTTTCCTGGCCCCCAGTGAGTTGCAGACAAATATATTTTGAAACTTGCTTATTTACTTATAAGTGAATTTTTTAAGCATAGCAAAAATGATCTTATCCTGATTATGCTCCATGACTTCCAGTAATATAGCTATTTTGTATCCCTTCGTTTCTTCAAGTTGTTCACTTGCATCTGTTACTTGTATAGTACTTCATGCCTTCTGTTCTTTAACCAATACATTACTGAAATGTTGAAATGGTGGAAGATAAATAACGTTGTCGATACATTTGGAACTCAGTAGACGTAGATTGAATTTTTGGTGAATGACTAACATTAAAGATTGAACCTGTCTTTTGCAGATTATTGACCTCAGATTCTATTGCAAATATTTTCTGTAATGACCCGGATCTCTGTATCCAAACTGTTAGCTTACGTACTGTCCGCTTTGGGTGGGCCTTGCGCCCATTTACCCCTCACGGCCTTCTGTTGCGTCCCCCGAGATTTGAACTTATGACTTTTCTCTTAAGTAAGACTTAAGTTGAATTCTGGTACCAATTAGGCAATTTGGTACAGAGATTCTGGTCGTTACATTTACTGCTTCTAACAACTTTACCATTGTGCTCGATAGTTTTATCAGTTCTTGTTGCTTTCCAGAATCCTCTTATCAGTTCTTGTTGCTTTCCAGAATCCATCTTTTGTAGCTCTTGTTGGTCATTGCCCTTTTGGGTATTTTTCTATCCCTTGGGGCAAAGAAGTATATATATATTTGCCCCTCCAACTTATAATCATCTGTGAATCAAATAAGAAAAAAAATATATTTTCAAGAGCCTGCTTGGGAGTTTTGATGAGTTTTAAGTGAAATCGTTTCTCAATTCACAAATCGGTGATTTTTAATCTTTTTCGAAGTTCCTTTTAATTTTATCATCTCTAAAACAATGATTTTAGAAGATAAAAATTTAATTATACGTAAAAAATTGCTTAAAAAAATAAAACAAGAACTAAAATATTTACTTACATAGGTAAAATTACTTTACCCCTCTTGGGAGTTTTGATTGGTATTGGATGATATCGTCCGTGAGAGGTTGGAAAACATAGCGATTCTTAGTTTTTTTGGATAGTATTTTCAATCTACCAAATTGATAATGTTTTACCCTTTTTCAAATTTTCTTTCAATTTTCAATTATTTGAATTGCTTTAAACTAAAATCACTACTAAAAATCACTCAAAATTGGTCGTTCGTAGATGCTCAAATTAAATCGATACTTTAAAAAAACTTCATAATCGATACTGTCCAAAACTTCCAAGGCGAAGGCGATGCTACTTCTTTAAATTTGATGTAACTTGAGATAAAATTATGAAAAAAGGAATTGAATGCGATTCTTTTCTTCAAGCATATTCCAATTATGCAAAGACAGAATCAACAAAAATACTTTCTGATAGGACCCGAAAAATTCAAAAACATGCAAAACCAACAAGCAATACAACTAAAAACTTAGAGATGAATGTACACATCTTTCAGTTCTTAGGCGAAACAAGAAATTCAAGCAAAACTTTAAAAACGCGATATTTGGAATCCACCAAATTATGAAAAAATGAACATACGAATTTTATTAATGAAAAGATAACAATGAAATGACCCTTTGTTTATAAAGGTTTCCATGAAAACCTAGTTTAAACAAACTAAAATCGAAAAGATTTCAAAATAAACTAGATGACAAAAATCGCACTAAAACTTTAAAAGCATTTTTCGAGTCCTAAATGAACTCGGGTGGCTGTAACATCCATAGCATGTAATAGCAAAGCAATGAGTTCTACTCGTCTCATTGTTCTCTTTTTGAAATGGTATTATGGGTCCAAATAGAAGTTTGAATACTCTCTCTACACTAATACCTTTTTTCCATTTCGATCAATTTTTTTTTGCAATTCATTCAACAATCTATT